CCGTAATATGTTTTCTTAACGATTTGAAACGAATATAACCGCAATACAACTGCTAATGCCGGTCAAACATATCATTAGTTTTCACCGGTAAACGGTTCGTATTTTAAAGAGGACAATAATTAATAGATATTAAAATAATGACATCAAAATAAATTAATAATGGCTTTAGGAATGGGGGGATTATGGACTATGTGAGACTCTACATAATATAAGTAATCAGTTTTTGGAATTTAAAATCATTTTATTATTTTGAAACGTACATTAAATATGAGTACGTGAAATCTGATGTTAAACACTGGAACATAAACTGAAATTTATCAACGAAGAATAACCTTGAAACCCGATCAATGTTATATGAATAATATTAAATAATCGCTTAAAAATATGATAATATAAACATATTATAACGGTACCTTATTATTACAGTTGTATACCTATATAGATAGTGACTGATATTGTATGGTAGTATTGTACGGTGACAATATCTGCAATAAAATAATAAAACATTATTAAAACATAATATTATTATGTAGTACGATATGATAAACACGCTTAATTAACATACATTTGGTAGGTATATTACAATATACCAACATAAAAATATATTAAAATATTATATTTTAAGTAAACACTTTCACTCGAGAATTTCTCGAAACGAAAATAATATCATTGCGCAGTAAAAATGTCTGAAAATAAAAATATGAAACAATACCTACGCGTACGGCGTTCATCGAACGGAGATATAAAATAATAATAATAATAATAAGAGAGCAACACATAAGTACACTGCATTATAAGTAGGCACGTACCATAGGTAGCTGTTGTCTCTACACCTATATAGAAGAATATTATAACGAGATAAGGTGTATGGAACGTATAATCAAAAGTATCTACGACGAATACAATCCAATACCGTCTGCACTCCGTGGGGGGGACTCACTCCGACTCGTTACAAAATATGTCGTTTTTTTTTTTTGAATTTTTTTTTTACCAATACAGTTTAAAGCTATCGTCGTCAGCTTCCGTTCTCGTCGGTTGCAACAGGTATTATAATATTTTCTACAGCTATGATTAACCGGGAGAAATTGGCGTAGCCCGGGCGCCGCCGCGGTTCGATGCAAGTGAAACTAATTACGTATGCCCCTTGCCGCCTCTATATAAGTCGTGGGTGCCAATGGAAGTGTGAAATTTGGCGTGTGGTCAAAGTACACGCATTGATCGATGGACGACGTCCGATGTCACTGCTGATCGATTGTTTATATATATTCGGTGAGTGGGGGGGGGATCATCGCGGACGAGTGTAATCTACATGGGGGAGGGGGAAGAAATATCGAATAAACCGTGCCATGCGCAGTCGGTTGCGTTGAATAGATATTATTATTGTGATTTTTATTTCATTTTATTTTTATATATTTTCGGAATAGTAGCCAAGTCACGATTTAATATAGAAATATACAGAACGTGTGAAACTTGTATTATTATACTTTATATCTATAGGTATATAGGTACTTTGAGACATCATCATCGACTCGGATTAGAATGCGGTCGGCCCTATCCTACATATTATTCGTCTTTATACCTACAGCTCGATCGTCAACGAGCATTATAATAATATTTGATTTGCACAGTTTTTTTCGGGTGATTTTAATATAATCATCAAAATAATATATCGATTTTAATTTTAATCATTATTTATTCAAACGCTTTAAAATCTGGCAGTTTTAATTCAAATGTGTTCCGACCAGATATTACATACAACTATAAAAATGTTTGACTGAAAATTGATACGATCTTTTTAGTTTCAAAGAATATAATACACACTGTCATATTTATGTTTAGTATATTATATACCTAGGTATATAATAATATACCGCCATAAACAAATTGTACTATTTTTTATTTCGTAACATAAATGTACCATAAAATGTTTGAACTGGACATTACAACTATAATATGGACTGTATAATGTTACCTTAAGTGCTTACAATTGTATGTAAAATTATTTGTTTTTGGGTACGATACGAGTCTTGTAAGATACGTCGCATTTCATGAGATTTTTTAACGTAATTTCGAATCAGTTACATCGGAGGGCTGTATTATAGGTATACAGTCGTACAAATCTAATATAAATACTTAGAAAGTTTCAAATACGATCTACATCCGGTTTGTGAGGTTAAATAAAATGTAATTAATAAAGACTAAAACTATATAGGTACCCGTGTTATGCGAATGCTATTAATTTACAGCTGTATAGTAATCAGTACTCGTTTATTATAACACATGCGTCATACCTATATGGACATAATATGGTACATCACTAATATAGTAATAAATAATTTAAAACGCGATGTAGGTAGGTAAAACTTACTGCGAACATTCTAATAATACTATATTCTGTTCGACACTATAAACATTCGCAATGTATAGTTGGACCATTCGAGATGATGGTTTCGACAATAATAATATTATATCGGAGACAGCAGTAGAATTATCTTACTCATTTACCACCTTTTTATTATTACACTGTATGTGTTGTTTAAAAACCTTAGTGTGCATATTTAATCAAGTGCGGTAGTGGGTGGGCATATTGACTCACCCCTATAACCGAGGGTGTCTCCAAAAAACATAAATAATATTATAATTGTATGAAATTAATCAATAATATTTTAAATTATCAATTAATAAAATATTAGCATAATATTATACTTGTATAGGAATATGCGAGTTACCTTTTTTTTTTCGCACAGCCGTGCAATTTATCACGATTTTAAATATTATTTTCCACTGATTTTTATTCAAAACGCTATTCACAACGTAATCCACAACGGACTGGGGCATATTACATTCCAAATTGTGATAGATACTTACATAATACATTCACATATTTCGTTTGTACGTACATTATACCTACATAAGAAATTATTTTATAAAACTAACAATGGTATTTGTAATCATTGTAACGAAACTCGAGGGCACAACGTACAAGATACCTAGTATGCTATGTTCTATATGCGTGGTACCCGGTGGTATACAATATTTGAAAAAATAATGTATAAAATGTAACGAAAAAAATGTAATTCCTAAAAAATTGAGAGCATAATAATAATTATTTTATCTTCTGAATAACCGTACGCGTAAAATTAACTAATTAATATAGTTGATGAAATTCATTAATTTATACCTAAAATATATTTATATATTATATCCCGAACGTCATGGCTGCATGGCTGAAAATTTAATAAAGCAATAGATCCATAACGAACTAAATAAAAATAAAAATTATTTTGATCATATTATGTTTGTAAGACAATATTACAAAATCAAATATATTTCACTGTACCTATATAATACTATAATACACCTTTCAACACGATGAAAACATTGAATTAAATTATTTTTATTAAGGAAATAACTATAATAATGATTTACGATTACTATTACTGCTATTGTATAGGTGTCCGATATAGGTCAAATAATTTAACTTATATATATATATGAGGTATATCTATACATTGTATATCTACTAATACATTTAAAATCTAAAACGTTCGAGTTGTACCCGGTTGTTTTAAAACCGTTATAAAGAATAATTTTGGAGTTTTACAAACTTTGTCTACGACCAATTCCCGATCAATTGTAAATCGCTTATACGAAACTTTTGGAATACTTACTGCTTTCACATCGCCGGACAGTATTATCCAGGAAAAAACTACCTCTCAAGCTTCTATAAAAACTATAAGTCCACGAGCGTAGACGGATCAAAACAAAAAAAGTATAATAAATGTAATACATTCAGAAATCATGCAGGTCGGTTCGTACAGCATAATATTATAATATTATACTGTTCACATCAAGTCATAATAATATTACGGTCGTAGGTAGATTTTTCTACATATAATGGAAAACGATGATTATTTTCTTTTAAAATAAAAAATAAATAAATAAATACGCGCGTCTTTGATTTCTACACGTCTGAACCGGATTCCACGTTATTTTTTAGTGATGCCATTTGCTATTACTGTGGCAATTTACTACTATATTACGATAATAAGACGTTTTGAGAGTTATAGAAACCGTCGTCGGTCGTCCTCAACCGTTAATTACACAATTTCACTATAGGCGCGTGCCCGGAAATTTTTTCGTACATCGTCTTTTAGCTATCATTATTATTATTATACCTAGGTATATTTATATGGCAATAATAGTTTAGGTATATTTATCGTACACTTATCGAGAAGTCGTTATTACTAGGAACATACAAAACTTCGATTATATAGGAATGTGGACATATCAAAAGAAAAAATTTCACTATATTTCTGGTTGCTCTTCTAATATAATAATAATTAATATATTAATTTTAAATATAAATTCCTAGTGAATAATTGTAGTCCTGCAGTCGTCAAGCAATTAAATACATTTTAATTGTATAATAATTTCATATTACACATTTTAATAATTTATACTCTTATTAAGTACTTATAAATACTTATAACTATGTGAAAAAAAAATAACTATTTCATAGATACTCTACTATAATATATGAAATCACAATTCCATAACTAAAAATTATTACTATTGAACTCGGAGAGATGAGGATTGGATACAGATATGCAGGGCATGATGGGGCGTGCGATAGTGCTTAGCACGAAGGGCTACTATCTTATATAATTAATTTGGGCTGGTCTCAGAAAGAGGGGAGGGGAGTTTAAATATTTTAGCACGATTGGCTAAAATTTCTCAATCTCGCCCTGTGGATCTGCGATAGCGATGACCCTACAGTTAATTCGTATAATAATATTCAATATAATAAATAAACGCAGAGTGTTAGCTTATAATACAGATAAACATATTATTCTGCGTAACTATGTAAAGTGGGGACCATCGAGTTGTTGATTGAGGCATAGGTATACAATTTTATCGATCGATTTATGTGGTTCTGTTTGTGGATTCTCGTTTAATTTACAGTTTTTAAAAAATAATACAATTTTGTTAAATTTAAAATGAATAACCGTCGTCCTTCCGAGTCTACTTCACAAACGTCATCAGGCGTTAAGCACCGCAACCAATGGGATAGTACAACTTACAGTAATGGTCCAAATGACAATCGTTCGTTTACAAAACAACAAAACTGGGAAATCAATAGGAACAACCAAGTAGTTCAGAAGAGAATTTATGCAGCGATGACGAAGCCTAGACGCCCCGTATCAACATTCATAAAACCGGCAGGAAAATCTAGTGCAGCTAACAATCAATCATTGAAAGCCAAAGAAATATTAAAGGCCAACCAAAAGATGGCGATAAGAATAAAAAATGCCAAGTCCACAATCGGCAAATAAATGTTACCAAATATTTTTACCATTATATAGCATAATATTAAACCGTTTTAAAATCTTATTAAATTTTTTAAACAATTAAGTCTTAATTCGGATTATACCATAATATTATGTAAATTAATATTGGAATATTGTATGACGACATCTGAAATATATAATATCAAAACATTGCTGCAATTTAAAATGTGTATTCTTCATTTTCACCACAACAATATTAAACAATTCTCACTTCACTTACATTGGTTATCCATCATATTATTACGAAAAGCATGTAATAAATAATAATATGATACAAAATAATTAAATTTTAAATTGTTTTTTTCTTAATTAGGTACTTCTTTTGTTTACGAGTTTTGCAAAAACGTGTAGCAAAGCAATAAAATTGAAATCTTTTCATAAACCAAAGAGTATACTTACAACTTGCTGCGTTTGGTAATGTAGTGCAAAATATTGTGTTCATCAATTATTGTTTCATCAGTAATCAAGGAACTCGAAGCAATCATGCCATATATATGTTTTTCGAACTTTCATTGGTCTTGATAAAAAAAAATAATAATAATCTTCAATCACTGCTCTGTGGATAATAATATTATGATGATCTGGTCATCACTCCATTTTGGGAAAATCTATTTCAAGTTTCCATTACAACCTAAATTCGGATTTCAATCTAAATCTTTAATTTTTTTTTAACGGAATATATACCGTATAGGTTAGGTTAGGTTAGGTACCCAGGTACCAGCTAAATTGTATACTTTAATAATATGCGAACGCGTTGCAGTTCTATTTTACATAACATATTATTCGAGAGTTACGATACAAAAACGCTATAACAATAACAATTGTACTCAGAATAACAGCACCATAGTTGTGATAGTCAAGAATTTATGACGTGCCTATTCCGAGTCAAAAATATCAAAACGATTACAACACGGGGTGAGAGATTACGGGATTTTGATTTCCGGGTTATGCGAATATCAGCCCGTGCACAATAATTTTTATATTATTGTTATCACAATGAAAATAATATAAGAATACGAAACGCCTATAATATAATTGCGCAATCGACAAATAAATAAATATATTAATATAAACATTATAATAATGTATGGAACAGGTGACGAACCAAATAAGATACTATATGTTCATTATTTTCAAACCACAAACAGATACTTAACCGTTTTTAAAACCGATACAGACGTAACAATATGATATAGTAGTACTTGGTACATGGACACTTAATAATCACCTCATTATTTTTGTATGATTACAATTATAATATACATCATAAACATTGTTCTCTATTATAACATTGAAAACTTTTTAATCTATATAATATGTATAATGTATTGCAGTTATGACACTGCAGGAAAAGTGACAAAAATAAAAACGGTCGCACGTTCGATGAAAGCGAACGGAAAACTCGATTATTAATAAATATATAGATAAATCTTTAAACTTTCAACTTTCTTTGACGGTACAATTTATTGTTTAAATTAAAATATATTATACTAGAGGACTATCGGTTCCTGTGTAAGCTTCCCTCTCCAACCAACTCTTCAATCTTTTTTTTATAGAGCTGATAGTTCATAACTCTGATAAAATAATCTGAATGAAAAACAATACAAATAACATTATAAATTATTAAAATTTTAAATTTCGAAATAAAATTAAACATACACAATATTACTGAAATACCTCATCAAATAGGTACAATATTTTCAATCGATTTCTCTTCAAATTTTCACTCAATCCTGATTCTCTCACAATTTTTACATCGTGAAAATGCAACGTATTGAACATATGTGTAAATATTATAGTCTATATTATTATTTAAATTTAACAATAATAATGCAAAAAAAAAATATATTACCTATATACAGTAAGTTCCCGTTACAACGAATACCGATACAACGAAAAATCCCGTTATAACGAAAGTCCTAGAAGTCCCCTACAGAAAAGCTATTAAGCTTTTCTAATGACCTTACAACGAAATTTCCGTTATAACGAAAAAAAAATGTGGTCCCTTGGAGTTCGTTGTAACGAGAACTTACTGTAATAATATTTGTTGCCAGGGTAATTTTTTGATGAAACTCTATTTTTTATAACTTGTTTTATATAATACTATAGTAGAGAGATAAATACATTATTATACCATACGCATTTACATTGAAAACTGCAGCAAGGAAATATAACATAATATAATATATATACCTATATAGGTACAATAATAAAATATGTACAAGTAGTGTTTTCGTAATCTCCACTGGAAACTTTTTCTAAAACATTTTACTTATTTACGGTTCGTTCGATTTATTTACTATCGTCTAAGATATAAATTATGGGTTCTAATTGCAAAGCTTTTAAATCATAAGTAAATTATTTACTATATTCAATAGACTTAATATGTTTTGGTCTATAATATTTTGAAACCGATAGTTAATTCACACGATTTGTTCTTTGAATCATAATATATTATGTATCAGAATAAAATTATTTCTAAACAGTAAAAATACTGAAACTTGGCGATATAGTGTTTCGTTTTTTAAACGAAACTCGACTTTAATAATATTATAATATTGTCATACGTTCAACCGTTTTACATCGTATAAAATACCCCTGCACTGGAAGTCGTGTGGACAACCACGTGTTCTTTCGGGGTTGTATAATAATCGTATCCGTCGATCTCGAATAATAATAATAATAATTTTGTAATAAATAATTTGCTGTACAAGCGCGTATATAGTTATATATATATAGATAAATACAATATATTTGAATAAGCAAATACGATATTATATTGCAAACGTTTGACTTATTACGACAGTAAATGGTTTTGAATAGAACTATTGAAACATATTGTTTGTATATAATCTATACGTACCTACATATTATCTTTTATGTGCCCGTAACATTCCGATTACCTTTCGCACATATAGGTACGTTTTATTCATGTTCACGTTTTAGAACGTACGTTTTAGGAAATACAAACACACCAGTTAATCCGTAACTCGTGTAAGCAGGTTTACAATTAAATTACTATTATGAATGGGAAACCTAAATGTTTTTTCATTATTATCAGCAGTTTTGACTTTTGAGCAATCGGCCAGTATGGCGCTTATCTTTACACACATCGGATAGATAAACTGAATTTTTAGCATTGTTACGATAATCGGTTAATGGTTTAGAATGTAACAACAGTAATACTTTGTACTAAAACATTTATTTTTATTATTTACGTTTAGAAATTGCGTACGTCTATATACAGAAGAATACTAGTTAATAGTTATATTATTTTTATTATTATTATTATTGTTTCGTTCCGAATTTCGGTATAGAAATAATAATTTCGACATCCCAGTTATATATTTTGTACTTACAATACCTACTTCAATATCATTAACACTGACATATTATCTGTTTAGGAGGTGAATCGAATGACCAAGCAACAGCCGAGTCATATTGGACTCCGGGACACGTTCAAGCTGCACAGGAAGATGAATCTGCCTACGCTCAGCCAGAAGACTATTTCCCGTCCGCTCACGGGCTTGTACAAACTCACCCAGCCACCTTCTCTGGATTTGGAAGTGAGTGGATCTAAAAAAAAAAAAACGTTTATTTTATAACTAATAATATTATATTTCAATATAAATTTTTTTTTTCAAAAGGTATTTCTGAATCGTCGCACGGTAATTTACCGCCTTTGGGATATTCATCACTAGACTTCGACAAGAGAGGTCTCGACGAATTGCGTAAGAACTCTGAACTTTCGTCACCTGAAGAGTGCGCAAGAGCTTGTCGCGAAGGAGAGCCACCCAGAATATGTTATTATCATTTCACCGCAGAATTATACAACGTACTGGGAGCGTAAGCATGAACATTACATTATACTGTTTCGTTGTCTTCGGTGTTGGTCCCTACACGTAACTTGTCATTAAACATATTATAATACGGAACATAATAGACGTCTCTGTGTCTCTCTGTCTTTCTATCTCTCTCTATATATACATATATTATACTCCAATAAAAACCTTACGACATTCTCTCATCGTCGGTTTTGATTTATATAGTGAACATTTAGTTCATTACCCATTATTTACCACGTTTCGAACGAAAATAAATTTTCTTTGTTTGAATACACAATAATATAGAGCTTGTCAAGTGTGCACACCGAACGCCACCAATTCTTTGTGGAGCCATTGTCAGTGCATATTGGCCGATGGTGTCGAAAGAGGAATGTTGGCTGTGAATCGTATGTTGCCCGGTCCAAGTATACAGGTACATAATATCATCGTGTTGCTATACACGTCTTGTTTTCTTCTCGACGTGATATTTTATTAATTCTCTCGACCGTTGTGTCCGCCGGACGTATATCTATAGGTCTGCGAAGGAGACAAGGTCGTCGTCGACGTCTTGAACCACATGCATGGTATGGAATTAGTGATCCATTGGCACGGACTTCACCAAAAGGGAACTCAATACTACGACGGTGTCCCGTACGTCACCCAATGTCCCATTCACGAAGGAAACACGTTCAGATACCAATTCGACACCAACAGCGGCACGCATTTCTGGCACGCTCATTCCGGTAAGTCTGAGTTGACCGTCAAAAAACCGATACGATATCTCTACTCGAGAACTTGTAATATAATATTAATATTATATAATTTATAATACACATACGGCACAGTCTATATAATATTATGCACTCCACGTGCGACATACCTACATACTCGTCACTGCCTATAGCCGACCAGGATTTATGATTGGTTTTGTTAAAATAATAGCAATATTATGCATTCGTAGGTATATGTGCGTGAGCGATCAAATTCCCATAAAAAAATATACATAGTCCGGGTATTCCTATCCGGTCGGCCGTGATTCACACACATTAACCCAGTTCTAGTTCCACGATAATGGAAGCAATGTCTACACGTGGCCTTATGTAATGCAGTAGTACTGCAGTAGTAGTAGTAGTAGAAATAGTGTAGAAGTGTAGTACAATTTGTGAAAGTCATTATATTTATATTATTATCTAAACAAAACCACTGAAATTAAAATATTTTAATAAATATCACACCGAAACGAAATGTTACTTGTCGTCGTAGACGGTATACGAATAAAACAAATATAAAATACGAACTTACAATGAGTTTTAACGCATAACGCAGTTCGATAAAAATAAATATTACCCCTCATTTAAATTCAGTAATTATTTTTTATCGACAAAATTATACGGTGATCCTACAGATGTTTCAGATAGTTATTACCACTGCTAGTATACGCATAATCAACGAATTTAATACATTTTAAAAATATAACAACAGATTAATAAATCAGTAAAAATGAATATAAACATGATACCTACATTTGTATACACGTCATATTATTTTGTATGGTAATTATTATGTAGGTATATGTATTGTGTATAATATAATATCTTGGAATTTTTTTTGTATATAAATAGACTCAAGTCAAGGAAAATACTTTTGATTTATATTTATATCTACAAGAAAATAACTTTCACAAACGTTAAATAAAATATTATGTTAATATAAATATAAAACCATAAATTAGTTTGATAGTTAACCCATCAAATACTCATTCATTTAATTATCTTCACTTTCTTATATAAGATAATTAACATAATCGCTATTCATTATGAATTATTTAAAATTTGACAAAACAACTAATAGTTATATAAGTAATTCGCACTTAATAACCACGCCAAATATGAATACTAAACACCATGATATTATGTTGTTATAAATATTTAGAATGTTAGCTTTTACCTTTTTCAAATGGTATTTAATTGAATAATTAATTGTTTTATGAAAAAGTTAGATTCATTGATATATTATTTTGATAACTAGATGATTGTGAAGTGCAAAGTTTAATTGTAATATTTACAATCATTATTACTATGTTGTTTAGGACTTCAAAAAATTGATGGTATCTACGGTAGTATTGTTGTACGACAACCACCATCGCAAGATCCCAACAGCCACTTGTACGATTACGATTTGACCACACACGTGGTACTGTTGTCCGATTGGCTCCACGAAAACGGAATGGAACGATTCCCAGGTAGATTAGCTGCAAACACCGGTCAGGATCCCGAGTCTCTGTTGATCAATGGAAAAGGGCAGTTCACGGTGAGTGCGGATGAGTGCGGATGTATATTTTAGACAATAACTGATGGTAAAAATTTTGCTATTCGATTACAGGACCCCAACACTGGATTCAGTACTAACACGCCTTTGGAAACTTTTACCATTACACCGGGTAGGAGATACAGGTTTAGAATGATCAACGCCTTAGCATCTGTCTGTCCAGCCCAAATTACCATCCAAGGACATCCGCTCGTGCTAATTGCTACAGACGGAGAACCTATTCAGCCGGTGGTCGTCAACACAATCATTTCATTCTCGGGTAATGTTCGAGATGATTACCAGATTACTTGTTATTTTTTTTACGCGTGCAGTGTCGACTGTTTCGTAATAATAAATTATAATATAATATATATCTCATTTTGACCGACAGGAGAGAGATACGACTTCGTTATTAACGCGGAACAGCCCGTCGGTGCGTATTGGATTCAAGTCAGAGGTCTTGGTGAATGTGGTAACAAACGCGTGCAACAATTGGCCATACTCAGGTATGCAAGAGGACCATACCAACCGAAATCAAAGGCCCCAACTTATGATGTTGGCTTACCCCAGGGTGTTGTAAGTGAATATTAATCATTTGTCACAGTTTATTCGATATTATATTATAATTTATTTTCATTTTAATAATTATAGGTAATGAACCCGTTGGATGCTGTCTGTGATCGCCCCAGGACTGACGCCATTTGTGTAAACCAACTGAAAAACGCCAAAGTTGTAGACAAAGGTCTTTTACAAGAAAGACCCGATGTAAAAATATTTTTGCCATTCAAATTCTTATTCTACAGGCCCGACGAACTTTTCCAACCTCATCAATATAACAAATACTTGGGTATACCAATTAACGTTAAATCTATTACATTATAATAACAATCAACGTTTGATTTTGAGTATTTACTGTGTCTACGTTTATTTGTCAGTAGTTTGAGTGAATAATATTAAAAACATTTTTTTGAAATTTTTCAGTGGCACCCGGCGGTGGAGACCATGTAATCAGTTTAGTGGATGAAATATCTTATACCTCTCCAGCATCTCCGATGATTTCCCAGATAGACGATATACCTCCAGAGTTATTTTGTAACGGAGACAACAAGCCAGCAAATTGTGGCAGAAATTGCATGTGTTCGCACAAAGTCGATATTCCAAGGCACGCTGTTGTGGAAGTCGTGTTGGTCGATGAAGGTAAATGCATACACATTACTCTACAAACCTCGCGATATAAAATTAATAATATCGTACAAAATGTGATAAATTTGTATTGTTAACATCATCATCAACATCATTTTTTTTCTTTAGTCCAACAACCAAATTTGAGTCATCCGTTCCATTTGCACGGTTACTCGTTCAACGTTATCGGTATGGGACGATCACCCGACAAGAACGTCAAGAAAATCAACTTGAAACACGCTCTCGATTTGGACCGAAGAGGACTTTTAGACAGGCATTTCAATTTGCCACCGCTCAAAGACACGATAGCCGTGCCCAACAACGGTTACGTCGTATTCCGATTCAGAGCCGACAACCCAGGTAAGAACCGTCGATAGGAATAGATTTAATAATAATATTATACGAGTACGAGGATTAATATTATAAACCGTTAATTCGGTTAGCCTAGTTACTTTTAAATTCTGAGCGGAGAGAGGAAGCTATAGTGGTTTTACAATGGTGTTTATTATTATTTTTTTTTTTTTATTCTGTATACAAAATGTCTACCAGAAGGAGTGCTTCGCTTTCAACATATAGTATCTTATATTTTAGAAAATTGTATCAAGATGGTACTTTAGAGAGGTCATTTTTCGAAATTCTCAATAAATATTTAATGCCAAGGGAAAAAACCACCGATAAATTACGAAAAACTGCTAAAACAGGATTTTAATTTCTATAGCTTTGTTTATCACCATAGAAACGAATAAAAAATCATAATGTTATTTTATTATAGTATGAATTCAACTTATAGGCTATAATAAATAATAACAATATAAAATATCCAGATTGACAAACCGCCTCCGCTCAGAATGAATCGTTTTTCTTATACATTGAAATTATATCATTGATTTCAAGTTTAATACCATCCATTATACATCGACCAGCTTGTAACCCTAATGTACGTAGTAGAGAGACATTCACTTACCCGATTTTTTTTTTTGCTTATACTATATTATTATTATTATTATCACGCGTGCCTTACTTAACATATTATTAATGTAAACAGTCAACTCACCGTGTACACACATTAAACTTGTTCACAGGCTACTGGCTGTTCCATTGTCACTTCTTGTTCCATATCGTAATCGGTATGAATTTGGTGCTCCACGTCGGGACACACGCCGATCTGCCACCGGTTCCCGAAAACTTCCCGCGTTGTGGCGACTTTTTACCTCCGGTCAGTGTACACTGATCACGTTCATAACACGTCAGTTCAAAACTAAGTGCTCATATAAGTAACGCAATGCGGTAACCACAGTTAGAAGCGACAAAAGAAAAACATACTTATCCATGTACTTTATAGATAGTATGTTTTTTTTTATTTATTTTATTTTAAACGTATATATATATATTATATATATATTACATTTTTGTACCCTAGAAATAATGTGTTATGCCATAACGAACATATGTTATTTAAATGTGTTATTATTAGTCACTCGTTCGATTGTTTTTTTTTTTTTTTCATTATACTTAGTCTAAGTCATTTCACAATATTAATTATCATGTATAATATTTTTATCAAGCACAAAATTATCGTTTATTTCTATCTTGCCTCTATATACATTTGAAACTCATCAATTGCTTGCCAATAATTTTTTAGACCGTATTTTACGTTATATATTCAACACAATACAATGCTTAATATACTCTAGGTACTTAATTCTTTACGTCTAATTCATCTTGTAAATAATGATCTATACAATTAGTAGATTCTAGTTAATTAATATTTTATGAATATTATCAATGTATAAATTAGAATAAACGTTATGTTTTAATGTAAAAATATTTGTACTATATTATTCTTTTTGTGCTATAATAACAAAATCATTATTTTCTTTCACTAATTTTTATGATTAAAAATATGTCAGTTAATTTTATACCGTTTTTGTTTTTTTTTTTTTTTAACGAATAGTAACCAGTTAAATTAATACCAAACCAAAATACTAAGGGTAATTTTTCAAAATTTAAATAAAATCGAAACTTCCTTTTTTTTAATAAATTAGAATTATACACGCCAATTGTAAAATAATAATTCAAGAAATCTCTACGTTATTTCGATAGTTTTAGAGAAATATGAAACACACAGCCCACACAGATGACTGTGGACTTATTAAATATTATATAATTTATCTTTTAAGAACAGTATTTTGGTCTTCAATAACTTGTACTAAAAAATATATTGAAATACGTGGGTACCTTCTAGCATCGATTAAATATACATATTTATTCAATCTAGAGTGAGTATTATGTGAAGTTTGAACCAACTGAAATTCTCATTCCTTAAATCTAAAACAACGCAACATGTTAACATAATAGGTCAGGTTAGGTTAATCTACGACTAATAGATTATTCAATAGATCAGATACAGTGATATTGTATCCGATAGGTACACTTATTTAAGTGTATGGTGTAATTATTGTATAGGTAATACATCACGTGTCTCAAAAAAGACTATGGGTTCTAAACTGCTATTAATCAAATTTATTTCTGTAAAAATAATAAAAAAACATACCATTCTCTTCAGAAGTTTATACCTAGGTTCCAACATGAAAAACACAATCGGACCGAGGGGGGCTCCATACAATTACTACAGGCGATCATTCGTTCCAAGAAATCGACCATCACCCGATCCACTTATTGGCCCATCGACTTCGTCTAGGACATGTCATCGAATTTCTCGTTTAAGTCTTCCAAGACATTTTGGACTTTACTCTGGTAAACTCGTGACTTAAGAGTCATAAGAAAATAAGACTAAGAAAAAATCACACTGCTTCAATTCTCAAGATTACCAAAAATGGAGGCCTTTTAAAATCTGACGTTCTTTTTGACTTTTGAGACACCATATTATACTATAACATGTATGACACTAAGATGTTTATCCGTATCGTGGTCGCATTTGTAAGATGGGTGCAGTCACCGGAAAAAGTGCAAACGAAAGCAGCTGTTTGAAGTTAGTACCTATGTATATTGTAAAGTATTGATGCTATATTTACTACACGACTTGATGGTGGACTTTGGTACAGTTAATCAAAGGTGGGCAAGTTAATGAAAATAATTAACTCAAGTTAAATTAAGTTAAGAGGACACGACAAGTTCGATTAGTTAAAAGTTAGCAGTTAACAAATTATAAATTTAACTCGATAAGTTAAAAGTTCATATATAAAAAAATATTAACTTAACTCAGTTTAAAAAAAGTTAATCTATTTTAGATTCTGAGTGAAACGACGAGTGTATTGATTTTACAATGATGTGTGTTTTTTTTTTTTTTTTGTGTCGGTCATCACGTTTTAGGACAGTAAAAGTGCTTGGATTTTCTTCAACAGTATCTTTTCTGATAGGAAAGTGAATCTAGTTGGTACTTTGGGGGGTCAAAAGTAAAAATTTCCCAGTAGTTTTCACAAGCACCGGGAAAAACAACATAAAAATTAAGGAAAAACGGGAATTTTTACGCAAAATCGGTTTTCCAAAAAACGATTTTGATTTTTGGTGTAACTCTAAAAGAAATGAACGTATATACATGAAATTTTCACTGGTTGTTTATATTTGCATTTTGTATACACGATAACATGTTCAAAATATTTTGGTTTATTTTAAACTGTTTAGGAACATTTTCATTTTCCATCTTTTTTTAGTTTTTTTTCTAAAAATATCAATAAAATTGTATTTGTTGGTTAAAGAAGCTTGAAAATTAAATAGAGGGCTACTAGTATATTGTTTCAAAGGCAAATGAAAAATATTAAAAATCCTTAGTCACAATTTTTTTTTTATAAGCATTTAAAATTCAAAAATTGACAAAATATGGAAAAATCACGAAAATTAGCAAATTATTTTGAGTTAAGAATTCGTAAAAATTTTTCTTTTTAAATCTAAGATTTGAAAATATAATACAAGATTCCTTATAAGATTATCTACCTTTATGAAAAAAAAAATGTCTATAAGAAAGTCAAATTCAATTTTTATGAGCGTTCGAAATTCGTAATATTTAAGTATAAACGAACAATTTCAAAATGTTTTAACTTAATGGATTTTTTTTAATCAACTGAGAAAAGCTAAGTTATTTCAACTGTAAATTAAACTATTTGAGTTCATAAGTTGATTAGAAAATAAACTAACTAGTTAAGTTAAAAAGTTAAAAAAAAATTAACTTTAACTTTTTAACTAGTTAATGCCCACCTTTGCAGTTAATGATTCGAGGCACTGCTGTCACACAACTTTTGATAAAACTATTATTTAAATAAATATTTATTAACACTTTCATCAACAGCGTTTTTTTTAGGCTTAGATTATTTGGTAGCTAGGTAGGTACATAATATGCATGTATCGCCACCGCTAAAAATAGATATATACTTTTGAAATTCACATACATCTAAAATCTTAATACGTTGATCGTTCGATATTCTATTGTAATATAGACGAGTTGATGCATTTACAAACCTTCCGAACACGATTTACAAATTTTAATTGCATTTATCCACATATTTAATAATAACAATAGGTAGGTACTTAAACACTTTATTTTTTCAAAAGGAATACATTGAAGAACTAATAAAATGTAATTCATATGATTAAAATAATGAGCTTACCTCAAAGTAACACACTGAAGTCGTACATAGAAAGAAAATATAGGTTTCAATCATACTAATCATACTGCGGCTGCGTCGTAGATAGGCTACTGAAAGTACATCAACGTCGTCGTTGTGATGCTGGCCCTTCCAGACACGATCTTCATGGACGACGAGAGTGGACAGTTTTAAAGGGTTGAAATAATATATAAACAATGTTGAATATTCTATATCCACGTGGAATGGCTATTCGAGTGTGTGTGTACTGTGTAGTAACCGTTTAGTCTGTGAACATAAAGCCGGATTCGCACTATCTATACGGTGGGTAGAGTTCAATATTATAATATTCAACTTAGGTTAGGTTTTACAAACATATGTTGCTACCTACCTACAGGTGTCATAATTTGGTTGGATATGTTTATGTGTGTGTGTGGACTGTGGATGGAGGGGTGATATTTTTGTACACGAGTAACTATATATTACTCAAAATGTTGCATGTATCCAGTAGCGGTTTGCACCTTTCAATACAAAAATAAATGGGTCACTGTAAGATTACACATTTAAATATTTACGTTTACGAATACGAATACTATATAATAGGTGCATTATTGGAAACACGCGATACGACACTCTGCAGTTTGAAACTGCAGTGAACACAGCTTAACTATTGTGTTTCTAAAATATATGACAGGTAAAATATTAGCGCAGCTTTGATAAAAATATCAATATTATGTATTATCATAGTTATCGATATAGCTATCCAGCACTCCAGTGTTCTCAACGATAAGCAGTGGTGAGTTATGCTGTACTTGTGGAGGTACCTATATAGGCACTAAGGCACTCACCTCACAGTTCGATAAATCACTGCGAGATAAAGGCACCCTCCACTAAGAAATGAGACTTGACTTGAGTGTTGTGTACGGTTCTTAAAGGTTTTTGATGCTTTTAACATTAATATGTTTTTGGGCTGGTTTTTTGTTTCTTACCGATTTTTTAAAGGTTTCCGTGTCAAGGTTACTTATTAGTTATTAACAAATATAAATATTAACATATATTTATGATTCATAGATTTTCCTTGTATAGAGGAAAATATCGAGTAGCATGCTATATGGTTATTTTTTATACTTTTATTACTATAGATCCATGGGTACAAAACTTGACATAATTTACATAAATTATTAGAAACGTGTTATTAAATATTATATCTATGTTCTTATGATTCTATAAAATATTATAATAGCTCAAAATTAATTACCAAAAATTAAATTCATAAAAATGTTTATAGGTTTGAGTCAATTCAAAAGGAACAAGACGTATAAATTAACCAACGCAAAGATTTCAAAACTAGTTTTGCTATTTATTCCCCTTGAGAAAATTATAATAATTATTATACCAAAAAAAACAAATATTCATTAAATTATAAGTTAGGTATTAAATTAATTTTTTTTTTATATGCTTACCGACAAATTTAAATAAGCATATGTAATGATAATACGTAAGTACTTATTACCTATAATACAATGTTTTATTAAATTTGTTGTTGTTGGAAATAAATTTTCGAGAAGATATAATTATATTTCCTGAGTCTTGTTCAATAAAAAAGAAATTATACAATTGTAAATATCTTAATTTTTAGAAAATCAAAAATAATGAATCATTATAATATTATTATGATTATAAATTTCAATAAAATAATATAAAATATATAAAACAATACAATATATTACTTATAAGTCTAAATGCCAAAATGTTATTTAATTTAAATTCAAAAAAAATAATAAGTACCTATTTTGATTCTTTAACAAAATAACTAAAGTTATACACAAATTCAAAAATAATACTCTGTATCCCATGACCTAAACATAAAAATAAATCCAACTGAGGATTATATAATTATTAGGTAATACAAAAAAAAAATCAAACATCTTTATTTTCATCATAAGAATAGTTTTCATTCTCGTTAAAGTCCAACGAATCCCAAAAACTAGTTCTTCCCATGTCCTTAACTTCGCTCATAGTTATATTAGTAGGGGAAGATATTTTTAAAAACGATACAGCTAAATGATTAGGGTCTTTGCTCACAGGAGTCCAGTCGATAGAGCTAATTCCAGTTGATGGTATTCTATTTCAAAAAAAATTGTTCCATGATAAATTAATTCCAAAAACTTTAAATAAAATATTGTTACCCTTCAAAAGCAAATGATGTCCAAATATCAACTATGATTGGCACTAATGATTTGTCCGATTCTGAGTCTTCGACGTTTACATAAACGTTTTTTAATGCGTAACCAGTGTCGTCTGCATGACTAGCTCCTAATAATAATATAATGACAATATTGTATAGTCATTAATCTGAATAATAGTATGATAATATAGTTTAAGATATTTTTTCTACCCATAAGGGAAATTTGGGGGATGAGTCCCCCCCAACGAAAGATTCATAGGAATATATTTATTTGTGTTTGATTTATTAATGAAATAATAATAATAATGGTATATTATTTTTACATTTACATAAAATATAGATATTAATTATTATGCATAGGTATAATGTATATTATTATTACGATTTAAGATAGCACTATTTTAAATAGTGCTAACAATACTAAGGCTGTGAGTTTGTAGAAAAATGCATTGTTTTTAGCTTACTGTAAACCATAGTTGTTTCTTTAACGCAACGTTTGAATTAGGTTCCTTCTGTACTGATGAATTCAAGTTTGAAACTTTTAGTTTGCAATTTTTTTTCCATTTTCCATTACTTTTTTCAATATTTTTTTATAGTTTTAGTAAATTTAAATTTTTTACATCCACTTTATGAATTATTTTTATTTATTTAATTTTCATCTTTTAAATATCGTACACGTAAATTTCGAACGCGCGTAATACTTAATTATTAATATCTTACTCTCGATAAAATGTTATATTTTTTTAAACTATGATTCTTAATTTATTCCAAGTTTACAGCCCCACCTTCCAAATTTAAAACTTAATTTATTGTTACCGTAATTTTCGTTGGATTGAGCAAAGTGTTCCGAAAGACTGTGTTTACCTCGGTATCCGAATTGATATAAATATACCGGAGATTTATAAAGTTGCGCATGCATTTTAGCAGCTTTTATAATATCGACTACAAACAGGCGATCGCTTATCATCTGAAAATTATGTCCAATTATGAACTGCAATCTAACGAACAACAATATTGTACAAATTCAGTACTTGTATAAATTGTTCTGTATTTCCTTTAACCAATTCTTTACTGCCTAAATATTCTTTTCTGATCAGTTCTGACACGTTGTCAATTTTATCTTGCGGTATTGTGTAGTTGTAATCCAGTATGTGCGGCATGACTTTGTTCCAATCTTCGTCGATATACTTCAATAACTTAGGGTTATTGATAAATTCTAAAAACATAATACATTATATTATTATTTATTCTTTACGAAGATAGTGTACCTATATAATATTAGTAAAATCGAATACCAGAACCCGGGTAGAGACCCTCGTGAGTGGCAACACTAGACAACCACGGCACATCAGTCGCTAGGCCTTTGGCGAGAATATGATAGGGCAGTTCGGTAATAAAAGCATTATCACTAGGTAACTCGACAACCGGTCCGAAGGGAGAGTACGGGTTGTACAAGAACGGCTACGGATTACATAACGAGCGCATTAAAGTAAAACAAATGGTACGTATATTTAAAAGACGAACAACGCATCGACATCTATTTTGCTACTCACAAAAAATATTTTTACTGCTTCTACGATGTGTAAAGCTGGCCTTGTCGTTAAACATTCGACCAAATCTTTCGACGGATGAGTAGGACAACCTAGGTAAGCGCCGACTGCTGCTGATTTATCCGGTACATTTTCGGCTATTGTCCAAGGGCACAAAGCAGTTCCGCTTTGAGAGAATACTTTTTGAAACAGTCCTATATTATATAATATGTGACATCAATTAAGTACATTAGAATAATTTTAAAAAAAAACATAGACCAATGTGTAACCTCTAGACAACGGCGACAACATATGAAAATGAACACTGGCACCTCCAGCCGACATTCCACTAATCGTAATACTCTCTGGATCACCTTCAAAATACACTATATTTCTTTTCACCCATTTTAATGCTTGAACTTGATCTTTTAATCCATTATTGCCCGGCACTACGGAATCTCCAGTACTAAAAAAACCTATTTAATGTTTATGTCTTAGGTACTTATTTTTTGTAGGCATAATATTAAACACGTATAAATGTAAATATAATTTGAACCTTACTACTATAATTAATATTATAATGAGTTATTATATAAGTAGTATAGTTATAAACTACTTAATCTTTATAACTATTATACAAATACAATATATTATATAACCTTGAATTTAATAAATTGAAGGTTTCATTGCCGAGGTTAATCGTAAGAACACATGCAGTTCTATAAAAACCTATGAGAAAAATTGTTTATTTAAATCAATTTACAGCTAAAATCGTTTGTATTATATTCAAATTAATTAAATGGGAAAAAGAATGTGACGTATCTACAGTTGTTTTTTATTATTATTATTACCTAGCTTTTAGTCAGTGACAATAACATCTCGACGGTTATTTCTAAACGGTACAATATATTATGACAATATCTAACAAAACAAAATATAAAAAGGTGGCCAAGTGGATGTCGCTCTGCTGTACAGTAGGTTATAAATGGGCCACTGTAATGGATTTTTATAAATTTCTAACTCAAAATAATTTGCAAATTTTCGTCATTTTTACGTATTTTGTAAATATTTGAACTTGAAATGCTTAAAAAAAAATAGTAACTATGGATTTTTATTTTTTTTTCATCTGTCTTTGAAACAATATACTAGGAGCCTTCTATTCAATTTTCAATCTTTTTTAACCAACAAATAAAAATGTATTGATATTTATAGAAAAAAAAACTAAAAAAAATGGAAACGGAAAATGTCCGTAAAGAGCTCAAAATAAGTCAAAATATTTGGGAAATGTTATGGTGTATAGAAAATTCTAATATAAACATTTAGTCAAACTGTCATGTACCTACGGTCATTTTTAAGAGTTGTATCAAAAACCAAAATCAATTTTCTCGAAAACTGATTTTGAGTAAAATTCCCGTTTTTCCTTAATTTTTCTTTTGTTTTTCATGGCACTTTTGAAAACTACTGGGAAGATTTTACTTTTGACCCCCCCCCCCCCCAAAGTACCAACTAGATTCACTTTTCTATCAGAAAAGAGACTGTTGAAGAAATACTAAGCATTTTTACTGCCCTAAAAGGTGATGATAAACACAAAAAAAAACTAAAAAATTAAAAAAAAACACACATCATTGTAAAATCGAAATTCATCGTCGTTTCACTCAATCTAAAATTATATAATACCTCGATCTTCCGATATGAACACAATTATTTTTTTTTATGACCATCTCAGATTTAATGTTGAGAATAAAGAAAGGTTGGGGTAGATTAATTAAGGTAACTGAAAATAGAATAAGATAAAGATGTTAAGATACGATTGAGCATAGAATTGTCTATGCAACGTTGCCACATACCGAAATTGTTTAATTTATTATTTTCACGTGTTATTACACCAATAATTGTTACGATACAGAGCTTACAGAAACCACCAGCCGTGAACCGTGAGCCGAGCCCATCAGCTTTATCAATGATAATATTATTATCGATTAATAAACTGGTTCCGCAATAAAGCAATAAAATATAAATATTAGCCTGTGATACTGTAGACCGTTATAATTTAAGTGAAGTTTTAAACATTTACAAAGAGCATATTTTAAAGTTTTAAGATAAGTAATTGTTGTAAATCCCAAATTATTATATAATTAATTCAATATATTGTGTACCTACTGTAGTACTGTGTAGTGAGTGTTCGATTACCTAGTCCTCCACACACATCAGTGCGTTAAAAAAATGTATAAACGTGTTTATTTTTTTTATGCGAACTATAATTTATACCTACATAAAACCTACACACATTATTTTATCGAAAAGATACAAGGAACATCAGCCCTAGTAAATTTGAACAAGTATATAAATTAATTTCCGAGTGAAAGAAAGACAATATTTTGAGATATAGGTTAGGTTTAGACCATAAAATCGTGCTATTTTTTTTAACTCGTACAGTGTAATGTATTATTATAATTAATATTTAAATAATTATTTTTGGTATAATATATTATAGTTCAAAATGGTGGCATATGACAACGTCCCAGAATTATTTATGCTCAAACGTATTTCTATATATCCTTATTGATACGCCGAAAAAATTGCTCAATCGTATCGTAAAAAAAGAGTTTTATGCTCAATCGTGTGATAGTCGATAATCGATATAATTAATAGAACAATATGACATACCTAAGTGTTTTTTTTCTTTAATTGTGGTCGTTATTGCTTGATATGGTATATTGGTTTGGTTTTGGCAGGTTGTGATTGTTTAAGCGGTAAGGTTAGGATGAGGACAGTTACTAGTGAGTTAAAGGAAGATTTAATTAGAAGGTACCGATATCTACAGTTGTTATTTTTAAATATATTCAGTTTAATGTAAATCGTATAATATTATTTTTCTAATATAAAATTATAAATTCATAAATATAGGTAATATTTGTTTATTATAAAGTCGATGTCATAATAATATATATTACCTATTGGGCCGAGCCGGTAGTTAAATGTAACGAGAATTATATCCTTGTCCAAAATGTAATCGGGCTGGTATATAGATCCGTAAAGAAACATGAAGGCACCTCCATGAATAAAAACCAATACGTTCAAAGGTTTATTACTTTTTCCTCTTGCCGAAAGCTATAGATAATTAAATTTAAACAGTTATTATTTGAAATTAAATTTTAAAATAGACTTAATATTTGAATCACTGACTTTTGGCGTATACACGTTCAGGTAAAGACAATCCTCGTCTCCATCGATTAAATAACTCGAATGGTCGTATTGAATACATTTACTACCCGGAGACGATGCGTTCCACACTCCCGGCCAAGGTTTCATCGGTTGAGGTTCCTAAAATATATTATTATGTGAGTGTTCCGACATATATTGTACCTATATAATACACATGTAAAATACTGCCCGTTGGCCAATCTCACCTGAAATCTCAGCTTCCCCACTGGAGGAGTCGCGTAAGGTATCCCTTGAAAGCTGTAAATAGTTCTTCCTTTCCATGTCTTTGACAGTTTCCCAGATACGGGCCCACTTTCAGTTTCTACTACGGGATGCTGATTACCAGCCACGAAACAATACAAATGTGTCAGTAATAAAACAATGACAAGGCGCATGACGAAAAAAAAACAGAAGTAAAAACTAGTCTATGCGAAAAATGTTGCAGAGAATATCAGTTCGCCACCGGTTGACAGTAGACAATATGTTGAATGAATAAATGGTTGTTATAATATAAAACTAGAATATAATGCGATGTACCTGGTAACAATATTACAGTATTTGCTCGTTCCCCACTTCTTCGTGGGATTACAAGGTATGCTACAATAACAGCTGGACATCCTTCAGTTAAGTGGCATAATTATAGGAATTCGTTCAGAGGCGATAGATATAATTTAGCTCTGATTAACTATAATTACATTTCGTTTCGTAATAGTACAATTTACAATATTTATTCACACCCCAAACTTCAACACCCCCAAATTAATAAGATTAAATGATTTATCACCGATACAAAATTAATTAATATAATGTATACTGAGTTATAAGTTATAATAACTCATAAACTACTCAACCCAAATTCGATTTTCATGTATCAAAATACTAAGAAAAATATTCTGCTTTGGAATATAAAATTAAAACCCTATGTTGTTATTCAAAAAAGTAAAAAACTTAAAAAATTATAAGGATAAAAAATATTTAAAAATATAATTTTTTAATAAAAACGTTGTTTTATAAGCGACTTGAAACTATGTAAAAAAAAATATTTCCAAAACAATTTACACTTTTTGAAATAATGAGTGTTGTTTGATAAAAAAAATCACCCAGTATACTGTTGTATGTGGTGTTTTGTTGCTATTTATAAACCTAAACGTTTTAAAAATACATGTACCTAGGTATACCATAAACTTTTAGGATTTTTAAAATGTTTGAATAATAATAATTATACAATAGAATATTATAAATTATTGCATTCTTAGGCCTTTAACATTACATTGTATATTTTATAAAAAAAACTATAAATTATAAAATATTTAAAAAATCACATACTTATCTTAAAACTTGTCAATACATTTATAAAAAGAAGTATTACGTAAATAAAAATAAAAATAGCCGATAAAAATATCTGGTCTCCGTAGAACTATTGTTTTATGATAATTATAGAAAAATATATAAAGGCGAGAATGTTTAAAAATAATATACAGAGCGATTCACCTAGCATCCTCATCCCCATTTTTTTCGTTTAATAATGATTTTATTGAATTCTGATTTTTGGAATATTGAAGTAACCATGCATAATGACCTTATTTTCAGTGGCGCATTTTGGGGAAGGCGAAAGGGGCACATGTCCCAAACGGAAAATATTTGTGGTGGCAAAAATTTATAGCTTTTGCTTATAATGTGTTTTATGATTTTTTTGATTGAGTTTTTAAACTTTTTTTAGTATTGGCATGTATTTAAAATAAATACCCACAAATTTTGTATTTTGAAAAATATTGTTGACCATCTCATTAGAAATTAAAAATTATAAGATGCGTAGGTAATCGGTATATTATATTATATAATATAATATAATATTAAAAAACAATAATATGTTCGATGTTCATAATAATTAACAACTTTTATCTGTGGGACCTCGAATTTGGCGATTTGACCTGGTAGACGTAGTGAACTGTCTACTTGTCATAATTTATTATTATACACGTAAAGTACTTTATTATTATTATGCACTGTTCTATTAACTCATTAAAATACGTAGGATCTTAAAAAAAATTCAAAATTTGTTAAAAGCTCTCGTGCCTGGCGGTAGGTAAACTTCAACGTTGGTTCCATTTAAGGAGTGTCATGTAGCGATACCAACTTCTCTTTTTCAAATGAGAATCATCTATTATTAATTTTAACAGAAAATTATGAAGATGAATATTTTGAAAATTTCAATCTATTCAAATAAAAATTTGAATGAGTACCTAGTCTTATAATTATTCGATTTTGTATTCTAAAATAGGTTTGGATGATATGAGGCAAATGCTGCAGATTTCATAATAATTATAGTAAGTAACTACTACGTCATTACAGAATACTAGAGTAATTTTATTGTTTTGCAAAACTAATTTTTTCAATAAATAATTATCCTTAGTATATTAATTTTAATAACTCTGAACCTACTCGTAAAATTTTGATTTAAATACATCAACATTTTCAAAAAAATCATCTGCTCCATAATTTTCAAATAAAAAATTGATTCTCATTTTCCATTAAAAAATGTGCATCACCACATGGCACTTCTTTTAAGATATAAAAATGCTATGTATCTGTTATAGTATATTAGCTACTTCAATATACTGAAAAATTCAGAATTTGAAATTTGAATGAATTAATTTTGTAAGGAAAAATTGGAGATGAGCATACTAGATGAATCACTCTGTATACTGTAAAGAAACGATAATTATCTCTTAATTGATCATTAAGTATTTAAGACTTGATTCACTTATAATAGTAGCTCCATACACGTGCGTACCTATACGTTTCTAGAATTAGATATTTAGGTATTATTTTTGATAAACATTTAAAATGGAATTTACATACGCATACCTTATTAGAAAAGTTACGTATACGATAACATACAAATTTATAAAGCTTAAGAATTTGATACCTACACAAACAATTCGTATAATATATTTTAGTTTGTAGGTATCAGTAGATTTATCAATATGGGTTATTAATAGGGCTCGGAAGTTGATGACCTTAAAAACAATAAAAAATGGCAAAAAATGTCCTAAAAAATTTAAAAATGACCTAAAAAAATTACAAAAATTAGTTTTATATTAATAAAAATACATTTTTTTTAAATATTTTACTCTATTTTACTATAAAATTCAAAATATGACATAAATGTCCTTAAAATAGGAAAATTAAAAAATTAAAAATATTTGTATTATAAATTTATCAATGCTTACAAATTATTTAAAAAATCAAAATCATTGCATTGTACAATTAGAGCGTATTTTATGTTATCGAAAGTAAATGAACGACGATTATCTGTTAATAAATTTTTATATTTGGAAAAACTTCTCTCCACGTCTACTGAAGTGATTGGGGCAAATCTGAAATGGACCAAATCATCAGCACTGAAATCATCCGGAAAACACTCACTTGAAGCTTCTTCACCATTTAAAATTTTAGAAATTGTTGACATCGTTTGAAATCCAGTATTTTTGGCAAGTACCGCTTTAAATTTGTTTTTTATTTCATTTCCAATTCTATTAACTGCTGCTGATTCAATTTTAATTAAAATATCTTGTACAATTTGTATTGAATCATAAAGCCTGAGTCCTGAAGTTTCTATATCGGAGAGATAAAATCGGATACTAATCGAATATTAGGAAAAAATAATAAAATGTAGGTATAATATTATTCACTACAATACGACAACGACAATAATGTAATCGTCGAGATAAAATTGGATAGGTACTAATCTTAGTCTGTGGTTTAAGTTATCGGCATAATGGTCGACAAAAAACGATAAGAAATGAACTAGTGTGAAATCAGTAAAAATAACTAAAAATGTTGGAAAATGACCTATAAATCTCAAAAAATGACTTAAAAAGTAATAAACACCAAAAAATGCAAAATAAAAATTAGTTATTTAGATTCACATGCTTATGAAACAGATTTGTGGGCAGGAGAGCATCGTCTAAAAAGTTCCAAAAAAAAATGCAAAATGCATCAACTTCCGAGCCCTAGTTATTAATATAGGGTGGACCAGGTGATGGTATTTTAAAACAGCTACAAGTAAATCAAAACAAAATAGTAAGAGTATGTTTGAAAAGTGTGCTCTTTGAAGGGTCGACTAGTCGAAACTATAGGAATTTTCGTGTTCTACCAGTAAAATCCCTTTATAAAAAAATATTAATTATGATTATATTTAAACGATTAATAAAAGGAATAAATAATACATTTTTGGAAAATAAAAGAGAAAATATGGTGTATAATATCCCTCTCAAATATGCAAAGAAATCTTTTGGTCAATCATTTGTGGACTACTTAAGGCCTATATACGTACATATGAGTATAAAAAAACATCCTTCAGCATCAAAATAGTATTAAAAAATGTGTGAATAAGTATTTATTCTTAGAATTTATTAGTTTAAACTATTATTGTATTATTAATATATGTGAGAATAATAATTTAAAATTGTAAATATTATGTTTAAAAATTAAATCTATTATTTCTCTTGTAATTTTGATTTCTCTATATTATAATTATTTTATTTAAATTTTAGATTCTGAGTGAAACGATGAATGTATTGATTTTACAATGATGTGTGTTTTTATATTTTAGATTCTGAGTGAAACGATGAATGTATGATGTGTGTTTTTTTTTTTACCTATTTTTATTTGTGTCTGTGTACACGATAAGTAGTCGAAATAATGCTTCGATTTTCGACTTCAGTATCTTGTTCGATTGGAAAGTGAATATCGTTGGTGCATTGGGGAGGTCAAAATTTAAAATTCCCAGTTTTTTTCAAAAGCGCCAAGAAAAACGAAAGAAAAATTAAGGAAAAACGGGAATTTTTACGCAAAATCGATTTTTCAGAAAATTGAATTTGGTTTTTGGTGTAACTTTAAAACAAATGACCGTAGATACATGAAATTTTCACTGGTTGTTTATATTTGCATTTTATATACACGATAACATTTTCAAAATATTTTGATTTATTTTGAACTGTTTAGGGACATTTTCATTTTCCATTTTTTTTTTAGTTTTTTTTCTAAAAATATCAATAAAACTTTGTTTGTTGAGTAGAAATACTTGAAAATTTAATACAAGGGTCCTACTAAGTTGTTACAAAGGCAGATGAAAAATATTAAAAATCCTTAGTCACAGTTTTTTTTTTATAAGCATTTAAAGTTCAAAATTTGAGAAAATATGAAAAAATCACGAAAATTAGCAAATTATTTTGAGTTAAGAATTTGCAAAATTTTTTCTTTTTAAATCTAAGATTTGAAAATGTAATACAAGATTACTCATAAGTTTGTCTACCTTTATCAATAAAAAAATCTCTACCGGACAGTCAAATTAAATTTTTATGAGCGTTTGAAATTCAAATTTTTACAA